ACTCACAAGACTTTGGAGATTGGGTTTAAGAGTAAAACAATCCACTTTAAAACAAATAGGCCCTCAAAATGAACCCAAATGAATGCCAGGTAACTCTTATCAAAACCTTTCTAAGTGAGCCAGGTGATGTAAATCAAGTGCAATTACACAAACTTGTTTATGATCATCTCTGCTCCAGGCCTTATGCCTGTAAATGGAGAATTGTAAAATTACTGTAGGGCATTGCAATATTGATAGTTCCTAATTGGCCACATCCTGTCACTGAATTGCAACATCACAGACTCTCTTAGCTCTTCAGTTAAATTATCCAGAACACTAATTTGAGAACTGAGAGTTTGAATTTGCTTCCACAGGCCTTCATTTCTCCCATCAAGAGATGGGCCTCTGATCGTTCCTTCTCACCCCCACAGACAATCATATCATATACAGTGAGCCAAACAAAAGAGCCCTACTTACATTAAATTGTAATTACATTTAATTCAATAACATTAAATTCAAATTCTATTCAATTTAATAACATTAAATTGTAATTTCAAAAGAATCCTAATAAAGACCTGATTTCCTGAATGGAGTCAGTAAGATGTTAATATGCCGGAACTTGGATTATGTTTAGTCTTCTAGAAGTCATGCAAGTTTGGTAATAGGCAGGGTATAACTACTTGCATTTGAAATGCGAATCAAAACTACAATGAGATACCACCTGCTAGAACGGCTATTCTCAACAACACAAGTAATAACAAGTGTTGGAGGGGTTGTGGAGAAAGAAGAACCCTCATTCACTGCTGGTGGAAATGTAGACTGGTGTAACCATTACAGAAAACATATGGAGGTTCCTCGAAAAATTAAGAAGAGAGCTACCATATGACCCAGCAACCCTTCTTCTACGTGTCTACCTGAAAAATTTTAAAACATTTATTGGCAAAGATTTATGTACCCCTCTGTTCATTGCAGCATTATTCATGGTGGCCAAGACATGGAAACAACCAACGGGTCCTCTGGTAGATGGCTGGATAAAGATGTGGTACATACATACGGTGGAATACTACTCAGCCATAAGAAAAGATGAAATACTGCCATTTGGGACAACGTGGTTGGACCTTGAGAATATCGTGCTAAGTGAAATAAGTCAGACAGGGAGAAAAAGGCAAGGACCATAGGATTTCACTCATAAGTGGGATGTAAAACTGAAACCAGCAAATGAACCAACAAGACAAACGAGAACTCACAGGCACAAACAACAGCAGGGTGGTCCCCCCTGGAAAGGGGGGCTTGGGGAGAAATACAGGGTAAAGGGGGCCAAATAGATGGTGAAAGGAGGAGATTTGACTTTGGGTGGTAAACACACAATGCGATATACAGATGATATATTATACAATTTTATACTTGAAACCTAAGTAATTTTATTAACCAGTGTCACTCCAATAAATTTAATTTTAAAAAGATACAAGATGAGTCATTAAAAGGTACTCAACTTAGAAATCTACTATTCAGTTTATCACTGAAATTAAAGGAGAATCAATACGACTTTCAAAGCACAGAATCAATTGGCATCCTTTTTGGAATTCATAGTATAAATTTTTTTTCCCAGTAGAACCATTTGGTCCTAAGAGGATCATCCAGATCAGTTCCAACCAACGTGAAAGAAATTGCTTTCTGTATATGTGGTTTGAAGCATTTCGAAATTACTGCATATGACCCTTAAAGGACCTCAATTGCCCTTTTTGCCAATTTAGGCCTGTCCCTGCTGTGTGTCCTCATTTTGCTTTGTCTTATATTGTCTTGAACAAACCTTGATGTAACTGGTTAAGGTTTCATTTTATTCTCTCTTTCAAGAACCTAAGAAACACCAGACAGTACTCCCCAACTGGTTCTCCTGGAGGCCACACGTGCCACTTTAGGTGCTCTCTTACCATATGAATTTTCTTTTATACGGAATGATATCCTGGAGAGCTAGAGTTTAAGACTACTTAAATGTGAATGTTAATAGATTATAAACTCCACCACATGATGAAATCCTTCACCACAGACAGTGAGTAGACAAAAACAAAGCGGTTCATTTGCAGCTAAGCTCCTTCAAATTTTTTTCTAGAAAGTTCTATATAAAACATGCAAAAAAATCCTGAAGACCAACAGAGGATATCCATATGTTCACACTCAGGTAAAAAGCAAAAACTTTAAATTCGAAGGGTGAGTTTGGCATGTAAATAAACACGAAATCTGACCATGTTACCAATATACTGTATTTTTTCATTTCAAGGTGTTTGGGAATTAGGTTCTTGTGGGGGTTTTTTCAGTTTGTGTGTGGTATGTGCGTATTTTAAGCTAACGCATGTTTAATTTACTACACCAGACACTATAGAAGTATTATTTCATTTAACTCAGGCAATACTGTGAGAATTATGAAGTACGCTTTATACTACTACAGTCCCCATTTTACAGATGAGGAAACTGAGACTTGGAGAATTTATGCCACCACCCAAGAGCATAGAGAAGCAGAAGAGCAGGTGTTGAACCTGCAGGAACAGCAGCTTGGGAAGTAAACATTCTCTGCATGGAAAGCCTTGGTACAGTCAGCACTGTGTTCACCACAGCACACGTGCTGGGACTGGAGCCATGCCTTTTTTTTTTTTTTTTTTTTT